TCCCGCGGGGCCGGCCCGGCGCCCACGCCAAGCGCCCCGCGAACAAAAGGCGCCGTGTTGGGGCCGGGCAGGGCGCGGGGCCGGGGGGGCGCGGGCGCTGTGGCAGGACTGGCCGCCGCTGCCACACGTTTTCCGTGGGGGCGAGCCCACCGCCCCCGTGCCCCCTGCACCCCGCTCGCTCCGGGGCGCTAGGAACTGGGAAAGGGGGGCCAGGATGCGGCTTCGCGGCACCTCCCCGGCACGCGGTTTGGGGAAGCGGCACTGGGGGGATGCAGCTCCCGGGAAGCCCCCCTGCCATGGGGATGGAGACAGGGGGTACCCCTGTTTAAGCCCCGTTCTGCAGTGCCCCCCATCCCTGGGCGGGGGGATCAGGAGGGGCCGAGCCCAGTGCAGCACATAGGGACACCTGGACGGTCCGGGCAGGCGGCGGGAACAAAAGATCCCGCTGGAGAGAGGAGGAAGAGGAGGAGGAGGAGGAGGAAGGGGGAGGTGGCAGCAAGTGGCCCCCTCACCCACCGCTACGCAACCCCCGCCAGCAGGGACCCCCCTGCCATCCCCAAGGCCCCCGGCACGGGGACAGSCCGGCGCGTCCCCGCGCTCGCGCCCGGCTCGGGTACCTGCGGAGCGCCCGGCGCCGCTCGCTCCGTGCCACCCGGGCGGTGGCGGCGGTGACAGGGCCGCGACAATGAAGCGCTCGGCAGGCGCGGGCCGGGCAGGGCGCCGCGGCCCCCGCCCCGGAGCGCCGGGGCCCCCCTCGCTCTGCCCCTGTGCCACATCCCTCCCTCCCGCCGGGATCCTATTACAGCGGATAAGAGGCCCTGGCAGGAACAATGCACCCTGGGAAAGGCCATCTGCCACCGCTGGGGACATTCCTGGCACCCCCGCGCCGCTTGGCCGCCCCGCTCCGGGGCTGCCTGGCTTTCCTGGACRCCGCTCAGCTGGCAGCGCGCGCCGGCTCAAGGACACGGCGCGGGCACCGGCTGCTGCCCGCGGCCGCCCCGCCGAGGATCCCGGCGCCCGGGATGCTCCGGAGCGAGCCTGGATGCAGCGGGGCGCATCGTCCCAGCGGAGCAGGAGCCAGGGTGTCCACCCTGCGTGGCGCTGCCCGTGCCTCCCACCGTTCCCGTTCCCCTCCTACCTCCCGGGCAGTGCCCCGCGCCGGAGCCCCGGCCGCCGCCGCCCGCACCCAGCGAGTGCCGCGGCCCCCGTGGCCCCCCCGGCGCTAAATCCGCCCCGGCCTAAGCGGCTCAGGGCTCAGGCGCCCCGCGGCGGCCTCCATCTGTGCCCTGGGTGCCCGGCTTAGCGCGCCCGGCGGCGACGCAGGTGGCGGGACGGGCGCTGAACCCCCCTCCGTCCCGCCGTCCCCTCCGTCTGTCCTTCCCGCCCCCCCATCTGTTCCTGGTGGCCGCTAGTTTGGTAAATCCCGCTCCGCGGGCGCTATGGGCAGGGGACCGCGCGGGGCTGGCGGCCGCCTCCTAAGCCCCCGCCGCTGATCCCGGGCTTGGCCGGGTGCCCGTGGGAAGGAGGAAGGTGAGGGGGAGGCAGGGACTGGCAGCGGCCCCCCGGGTCACTTGTATCCTGTGCTGGGTACCCGTGTCCTGTGCTGGTTGCCCCCAGATATCCCGTGCCAGGTGCCCGTGTCCTGTGCCGGGTGTCCGTGTCCTGTGCCAGGGCAGAGGGGCAGCAAACAGGGAGGCTGCATCTCTTGAGCACCCGGGAATCCACACTGGGATGGCAGGTGCTGGCTCCTTATGGGGCACCCCCGGCACTGCCCACCCCATGGGCAGCTGGGCATGGAAAGGGCTGGGATAGAGGGAAGGAGGCGGGAGCACTGGGAAGCRGGTGGGGCTATATGGAAGTGGGTGGGTTCCATAGGAGGAGGCCGGCGCGGGAGGCCGGGCTCGCAGGAGGCCGGTGGCGCGTGGAGGCCGTGCCAGAGCTTGGGGATTTATTGGGCGCGGAGGCGCCGGGCGGGTGCCAGCCCCGCGCGGCGCCGGCGCCGCTCACTCGAGCTGCTGCAGGAAGGCCAGCAGCCCGCGGTGCCACTCGTCGGGCTTGTCCAGGTAGCAGGCGTGCCCGGCGCCCTGCAGCACCAGCACGCGGTGCGCCGGCAGGTGCCGCAGCTTGTCCAGGCTGGCCTGGCCCAGCTCCGCGTCCTGCTCGCCGTACACGATCAGCGTGGGCGTCTGCGGAGGGCAGGGCGACGCTGAGCCCCACGGGCGCGCGTGCCCCGCTCCGTGGGGCTCGCATCCACCGGGCACGGCTCGCCTTCATGTTCCCCTGATGCCCCCACCCGCCATCGTGTCCCTTTGCTGTGAAAACTGGTGTTTTTGGTGTTTGTGCCCCCCTCAACCTGTGAAAATTGAGGTTTTTTGGTATTTGCGCCCCCCGCCGCCCCAGCGTGCCCGCTCCCTACTTTGATCCGCGCGTACTGCTCCGGCAGGAACTTCTCGGTGCAGATGGGCGCCACGGGCACGTAGGCCTTGAGCAGCGCGCTGTGCTCCAGCAGGAAGGGCAGCGAGTACATGCCGCTGAGCGAGGGGCTCACGAGCACGGCGGCGCCCAGCCCCAGCGCCTCCCACACCGCCTTGAGGAAGGCGCCCGGCGCCGGCTGCCCCACGGGCGCCGGCGCCACCGCGTCCTTGGAGCGGCCCAGCCCTGGTGCACGGGAGACAGGGATATCACCAGGCGCCGGCGGCCGCGGGCGCCGCGCGCCGCCCCGGCCCTTACCGGGCAGGTCGATGGCCACGGCGCGGTAGCCGGCGCGGGCCAGCGTGGCCAGCGTCTGCAGCTGCAGCCAGGTGTCGGAGGAGAAGCGGATGCCGTGCAGGAGCAGCACGGCGAGCCGGGCGCCCGGCCCGTCGGGCGCCGCTTCGCGGTAGAAGAGGCTCTGCCCGTCCACGGCCACGGTGCCCTCGGTGAGGCGCGGGGCGGCCATGGCGAGCGGGCCCGGCCGTGCCGAAGGTTGCCCGGGGTGGGGACGCGCGGCGCGGCGCGGCCGCCCGCCCTCCCACCGGCTGTGACGGAGGAGCCGGGCACGGCCGCCTAGCGGCTAGGCGGGCGCCGGGCCGGCGCGCGCGGCGCGCTGGGAAAGGCGGCCTCCGGGCCCGCTGCTGCGCGGCCCGTCCCGCACGGTGGGTACCGGGGTGGGGGAGGTTGGTGCTGCCTCCTGGCATCCCCCCGCCGGGCTTGGGGGGGGTGATGGTGCACTTGATTGGCAGCTGTCACTCACGCCGGCCGCGGAGCGTGCCCCGTGCAAGTACAAGGGCGGCTGGGTGCTGTGCAATGAGCTGCGTGGGGCCTCAGCTGAGCCCGGGTGCTCATCATGGGCCAGGGTGGGGATGCGGGGGGCAGGCTGCTGCGGGGTGCCATGGAGCGCTATGGGGTGCCGGGACGGAGGGGCAGGGACGYGGGACACGCCGTGACGGTGCCGCCGYGGGCAGCGCCCGGCCCCGGCCGCCCTCACCTCCTTGTCCTTCCTCCCGCAGGGACGGCCGGGATGAGCGCCGCGCGCGGGCGCCGGGCCCTGCCGCTCCTCGGGGCGCTCGGCGCCCTCGCCCTCCTCGCGCTGCTGCTGGCGGCCACGGCGCGGGGCGGGCGCCGCGCCAGCGGCTCCGTGCGCACGGGGAGCATCGCGGGCAGCCCGGCCGTCTTCTACAGGGAGGCAGCCCCGTTCCGGCCCGCGGGCGCTGCCGGCACCCCGGGGTGAGTTTGCCCTSGGGCTCCCGCGTGTGCCATGGAGAGGGACCCTCCTTGGCCGCTCGGGGCTGGGGTGGCACCTCCGTGGGGCGGGGGACCCATYGCGGTCACACGTGGTGGTGGGAGAGTGGTTGCGGTGCGTGGTCCTCCCGAGCCCGGGTGGCCGCGGGTGCCCCGGGCCGAGCCTGGCTCCCGCGGGCGCAGCCTCCGCACGTGTCCTCCCCGTGCAGGCCGGACGTCCTGCTCCTGCACGGCCAGGCCTTCACCTCCAAGACGTGGGAGACGCTGGGCACGCTGGCGCTGCTCGCTGAGGAGGGCTACCGCGCCGTGGCCATAGACCTGCCTGGTAGGAGCGCGCGCTCTGCCCGCCTGCAGGGCTGACATCCCTTGGGCCAGGCTCACAGGCACCGCTGAGCCCCCCTTGCCCATGGGCATGCCCAGGACCTCTCCGGAGAGCTGCGGGGTCACTGGCCAATCTGTCACCCATGTCTCCAGTTGGGTCCCACCGTGGCGCCACCATGTGCTGGGATGGGGTTGGCGGGCAAGGCACGTGCCGGGTGTTGTGCAGCTGCCCGGGCTCCATCCGTCCCCTCCGTGCCACGCAGGCCACGGGGATTCACCCCCGTCCGACGCGGTGGCCACGGAGCGGGGCCGGGTGGCCCTGCTGGACCACGTCCTGCGGGAGCTGGCCCTGCGCCGGCCCGTCCTCGTCAGCCCCTCCATGAGCGGCCGCTTCGCCGTGCCCTTCCTGCTGGCGCGGGGCGCCCGCCTGGCCGGCTTCGTGCCCATCGCGCCCGCCGGCACCGCGGAGCACCCGGCCCAGCGGTACCGGCAGCTCCAGGTACACGAGGGACACCGTGGTGGGACCCGCGGCCACCGAGCCCGCCTCGTGCCAACGCCGTGGCTCTGTCCCGCCGCAGACGCCCACGCTGATCGTGTACGGCGACGGCGACGCGGGGCTGGGCCCGCGGGCGCTGCGGAGGCTGCGGCTCCTCCCGCGGCACCGCGTGGCCGTGCTGCGCGGCGCCGGCCACGCCTGCTACGTGCAGCGGCCACGGGACTTCCACAGTGTCCTGCTGGCATTCCTGCGGCAGCTGGGTCCCCGCGGCACCGCGGTCGCCCCGCGCCCCGACCCGCGCTGATGCCGGGCGCTCGGAGACACTGCGGGCTGCCGGTGTTCCCGCGGGTGGGTGTCCCCAGGCTGCTGGTGTCCCCAGGGTGCTGGTGTCCCTGTGTGTGGGTGTCCCTGTGTTCGGGTGTCCCTGGGGTTGCTGATGTCCATGGGCTGCTGGTGTCCCCAGGGGTGGGTCTTCAGGTGCCGGTGTCCCCGGGACTGTTGGTGTCCCCTGGAGTGGGTGTCCCCGAGTGCAGATGTCCCCGGGTGTGGGTGTCCCTGTGTGCGGGTGTCCCCGGGAGCAAGTGTCCCCAGGATGCTGATGTCCCTGGGAGTGGATGTCCCTGTGTGCGGGTGTCCCCGGGGTGCCAGTGTGTCTGGGGCAGGTGTCTCCAGTGTGGGTGTCCCCAGGTGCGGGTGTCTCCAGTGCTGGTGTCCTCGGGTGCGCGTGTCCCTGGATGCGGGTGTCCCCCGGCTGCCGGTGTCCCCGGGGTACCGGTGTCCCCGGGTGCGGGTGTCCCCGGTGCGGGTGTCCCCGGGTGCGGGTGTCCCCGGGGCGGGTGTCCCCGGGTGCGGGTGTCCCCGGGGCGGGTGTCCCCCGCGCGCTGCAGACCCCACCAGCACCAGGTCACTAATAAACGCGGGTGCTGGGCTGCGGGCGCTGCCTCCTCGCGCGTCGCGCCCGCGGCTCGTCCCGCCCCGAGGGGCCGCCCCGACGTGGCGGGCGGCCCGGGCCTCCCCTGGGCGGGACCGGGGGCGGGCAGCGGGAAGCGGGACCGGGCCGGGCGAGCAGGCGCCAGCAGCCGCGCGGAGGGACGCCCAGGCAGGGCCGGGCCGGGCCGGGCCGGGCGCGGGGCGGGCTCCGGGCGGACCGGAGCGGACCGGAGCGGGGCGGCCGCAGCGCATCGGGCCGCGCCGCCCGCGGCTCGCGCGGTGACCCCGAGCCCCGACGTGCAGCAGCTTCCCCCCCTGCGACACCCCCGAGCCCCCTGCACCGCCCGCCTCCCTAGACCCCGTACCCCTTGCACCCCTGCACCCCTGCCCACAGCGCCCATGCGGCTCCCTGCACCTCTAGAGCCCCCTGCACCCATACCCRTGTCCCTTGCATTGCTCCCGTCACCAACACGTCCCCCCTGCACCCATGTGTCCCTACCACTGCACCCTTGTGCACCCTGCACCCCTAACCCGTGTGCTCCTGCACCCCTTGTGGCCCCCTGCACCCCTTACCGTGATACATGTGCACCCCACACACCCCCGTGACAAGAGGTGCCCTTGCACCCCAGGGYGCCAACCACGGCACCCCTGAATCCTCTAGCACCCTAACCACCGTACCCAGCGTCCCCATGTCCCCTGCCACGCTATCCCTGTGCCCTTGCCCATGGCACCCCAGTGCCTTCCCGCGTGTACCTTCATGTGCCCTCATCACCCCATGTTCACCCCCGGCCACCCTGCGCCCCTCAACCCACCCTCTTGGAGCCTGTCCCCCCCCAGCTGCCCCTTTCCTTGCACCTATCCTGCAAGTCCCTCCTYCTGAGTCCCATCCCTCCTTCCATGGAGTCTCCTGATCCCGGCCACCTCCGTCACCCTGGGGCAGGCTCTGTGCACCYGGGCACAGCGCCTGGGTGCTGTGGGGCAGCTGGGGGGGCTCTCTCCTGCCCCCACATGCTGCAAGGGGGCCCATACAGCCCTCCTCACACCCCACGTGTGCACGTCTCGCCCGGTGCCGGCGCGGGCGCTGCCGCCAACGGAGCCGGCCCGGGCACGGAGGAGCCTCCTTAGGGAGCCCTCATTGCCCCGCGGCCGCCAGCGAGGACTTTGCCCCGTCCCGCTTCGCTTCCCTGTCGGCACGGCCCGCGGCCGGACTTTGGAGGGGCCGKTGGGTTATTAACCGGCTCCCGGCGCTTGCAGCCCTCGTCCCGYGCCCGAGATGGCCCCGGGCAAGCCGGGCAAGAGCGCGGGCGCCTCGGAGGAGCCCTCGGTGACGCTGTTCCGGGAGTACCTGAAGATCAACACCGTGCACCCCGAGCCCGACTACGGTGAGCGGGGCTGCCCCCGGGTCCCGGCGGCAGGGACGCGGGGAGAGGAGCGAGGTGGGAGCAGCCCCGGGACGTCTCCGGCCTTTGGACCTGGGGGCCCGAGCGCCGGGGCCGGGACGCCCTTGATCCCGGTGTTAAGGAGCGCCGGGGAGCACCTGGGCGCCTTATCTTGCTGCCGGCGCCTTTGGTGGCGCCGCGGGAAACCCAGGCGCGCTCGCGGCTCCTGCCTGCCGCCCATTCCACGCTGCCCCGCTCCGGGATAATGCTTCTGTCCTTCGGGATGCCCCTCCGTGGGGTTCTCTTCCCTTCTGAGATCCACCTGCTCCTTGAAGCGCAGCAGCGCCCTGTATTTGGCATCAGGAGCTTGGTGACCTCTCCAGATGGCTCTTTCCTTGGACACCTCTCCGGATGGCCCTTTCCTTGTTCACCTCTCCAGATGACTCTTTCCTTGGCCCAGGATCACACAGGGGTTCCCTGGGACCATGCAAGTGCGGTGGGAGGAGAGGCAGGTCCCACCTAACCCTCGATGTCCCTGGTCCTCCGCAGATGCAGCCGTGCGGTTCCTGGAGCGCGTCGGCACCGACCTGGGCTTGGCCAGCCAGAAAGTGGAGGTGAGAGAGGGACGGCGCTTCCCTGCTTGCCCTCGGGAAGGGTCCGGAGCTCAGCGAAGACGGGGAGATGTCCCCCTGCCTTGGGCGACCCCCTCTCCTTGACCAGTGGCCTTGTCCTGGAGGGGCCGGCGGCTCGGCCAGCCCCTGGGTTGGAAGTGTGACCAGTGTCCCCAGCCGCCTCCCGGGAGCGAGGCCAAGGGATCCCGCTCCCTGTAATTCCCTGTTGACCCCGGCGCTTCCCTAAGCTCCCCGTGCGCTCTATTTTTGGGCTGGTCCCCCTGACCTTTACGGCTGCCCGCGCTATGATTAGCGACGGAGCAGGCAGGATCGCGCTGCCCGGATGGAGGTTTCCCGCTTTCCTGGAAGCCCTGGCTGGCACCGGGGCCTCCTGGGCACCGTCGGAGGTGGCCCTGCTGACAGCTGCCCTTGCCCCCAGGTGTGCCCGGGCCGCGTGGTGCTGGTGCTCACCTGGCCGGGCACCCAGCCCYGCCTGCGCTCCATCCTGCTCAACTCCCACACGGACGTCGTGCCCGTCTTCGAGGTGCCGGGGACGGGGACGGGCGGAGGGGGCAGTGCTAGCTGGGGGCCGCGTCCGGCGCGGCGCCCGCGCGGTGCCCGTCGCAGCCCGCGCCGCCCGTCCCCGCAGGAGCACTGGACCTACCCGCCCTTCGAGGCCGTCAAGGACTCGCAGGGCAACATCTACGCGCGCGGTGCCCAGGACATGAAGTGCGTCTCCATCCAGTGAGTGAAGGGCTCCGCGCCGGGGGTGACGCGGCGGGGGTTCCTGCCACCTCCCAGCCTGGTTGTGGGGCGTCTCTGGGCACCTCGGGGACACTCTGCCCTGCAGGTACCTCGAGGCCATCCGGAGGCTGAAGGCCGAGGGGAAGAGTTTCGCCCGCACCATCCACCTGACCTTCGTGCCCGGTGAGTCCCCGCTCGGAGGGACGCGTTGTCTGGTGACGCTGTCCACGGACAGGCTCCCGGCTCCCCGTCACGGCGCGGGGCGCGCGCTGGGGCCGTCGCCCACGCCGGGCCTCTCCCCGCAGATGAGGAGGTGGGCGGCCACAAGGGCATGGAGATGTTCGTGCGGCGCCCGGAGTTCAAGGCGCTCAACGTGGGCTTCGCCCTGGACGAAGGTGAGCGGTGCCAGGGCACAACGGGGGCTCGGCCACCGTGGCGTCTCTTGGTGCCACGCGCCCTCCTGCGTCTTGGCGTCGCGCCCGGAGCGCCCGGCGCGGAATCTGGGGTCCCTTGGGAGCACCCAGCGCTTCCCACCTCCACCCCAGCTTCTGGGCTCCCTTGGGAGCATCCCAGCGCTTCCCACCTCTGCCCCGGCTTCTGGGCTCCCTTGGGAGCA